TGGAGCACCCTGCAACCTCTTGGAGCTCTGGTTGCCCCGGGCCGGCGAAACCCTGTAAAAACACAAGAAAATGAAGCCCCATGCCCCCCATGCGCCGTCGAGGTCCCGGGGCGGGACACCCCGGCCACGTTCCCTGGGGTTCTAGTGGCTCCAGGTGGGCGAAACCCGGGAACAAAAACACAAGGAAAGTAAGGCCCCGGGCCCCCCATGCCCTGCCGAGGTCCCTGGGCGGGATCCCTCCGGCCACGTCCCCCAGGGCTATGTTGGGCGCGGGTGGCCGAAACCCTGAAAAAAAAACATGGAAAATAAAGCCCCGGGCCCCCATGCCCTGGCCCCGGGCCCCCCATGCCCTGGCGAGGTCCCTGGGCGGACCCTCCCCCGGCCACGCTCCCCAGTGTGTATCTATATATATATATATACATACATATATACATACATACATACATACATACATACATACATACATACGTACACACATACATACATACATACATACATACAGACAGACATACAGACAGACAGACAGACAGACAAACAGACAGACAGACAGACAGACAGACAGACAGAAAGACAGACATGTATATCTAGTATACACATTTATCGAAAAGGGAGAGAGAGAGAGAGAGAGAGAGAGAGAGAGAGACGGCCAAAGAGAGAAAAAGGGAAGGAAAGAGAGAGAGAATGAGAGAGAGAACGAGCGAGAGAGTGAGAGAGACAGTACGGGAGAGAGAAAGAGAGAACTATAGGGAGAACGAAAGAAACGGGGTGGGGGGGGAGAGAGAGGGATTCCGAGACCCTCCAAAGCCTGGGCTGGACTACGGGGTTGAGTCGGAAACCCTTTGCTCGGCTGGCGCAAAGCACATCCAATCCACCCAGCACTCACAACTCAACTCATGCAGGTGCCACAACTACACGAAAGGGGTCGACTGCACGACTGTCTGAACTTGAGCATCGAACCGCCCGACGTCGATGTAAGCGTGTTGTGGCCAATGGCTGCAAACATCCCGCCCTCCTAGATCGTGCTCGTGGGCGCCGGCACCAACGCCCTCGTCGCAGAGGAACTCCGTCTGAGCCGAGCCACTTCTCAGACAAGGCTGCATTGTGAAGGCTTGGTTGCGGAAGCACGAGCGACCGCTTACACACGAGCATGTTGCCGCAACTTCACACGCATGCATACAGACATGCATATGCACATACACACGTGCGCACACCGACGCATGCCTGAACGAACATAAGCGCATACTGACATATGTTAGCTTGCGTGGACCCCCAACTGTGTGGTTCCAACAAGACGGGTTGCAAAATCTAAGTGGGGCAGTATATGTGATGCAGTTGATTTTTACCCATGGTTTGACACATCCCACGCTCTTGCAAACATCCAACCCACCCACCCGCAACTTGATTTGCAAAACCTCTTGAGACTGACTACGACGACACCGACGACAACGACTACGACGACACCGACCGCGTCTCCGACGGCTTCGACGACGACAACGTCGCCGACGCCGACGCCGACGACGACGCTAACGAAGACGACGACGGGGGAGGAAGGACGACGACGGCGACAACGACGACAACGACGAGGGAGGAGAGAGGACGGCGACGACGCGAACGACGAAAACGGAGGAAGGACGGCGACGCCGACGACGACAACGACGAGGAAGGAGGGAAGACGACGACGACAACGACGACGACGACGGATGCAGTCTACGTGGTGCAAATTATGTTGTGCAATCTGTAGTGTGCAATGTATGTGGTGCAGTCTCACCAGCCCTTCGGGGCGTGAGTACTTTCGCGGGCCTCTTCTTCCAGCTCCCTTCTCCCCTTTCCTGCCATCGCTCGGACGTCCATTCCCTGTGTTTTTTTTCGGTTTCGTGAGTGGTTTTTCGCCGAATGATCAAGGATGCTCTCCCCGAAGGAAAAATGCACACGTCCGAACGATGCCAGGCCTTTGGGGAGGGGCCTCGGCGAGAAGGCCACAATCGCTGATGTTACAGCAAGGTCTTGGCCACATGTTGGCCTCCTGGGGGGGCCGGGGCGCTAATGTACTACGGCCCCTCACTTGAGCGATATTCTCCAAGATGGCTCCAAGATGGCCCCCGAGGCCCCCATGAATGCCTGAAGACGGCCCCAAGAGGTGCCCAGGAGGCCCAAAGAGGCTCCCTGGAGGCTCCCAAGAGACCTCAACGAGGCTCCAAAAGGCCAAGAAGAAACACCCAAGGACGCCCCAAGAGGCCCCCGGGACTCTCAAGAGACCCTAAAGACGCCCGAGGAGGACTCCAAGCTCTCGAAAGACATCCGAAGAGACTCCGGGAGGCATCCAAGATGCCTCTGGCCTTTCTTCTCGCCCTCCTCCCCCTCCCCCTTCCTCCTCCTCCTCCTCCTCCTCCTCCTCCTCCTGCTTCTGTTCCTCCTCCTCCCCCTCCCCTCCCCCTCCCCCTGCCCCCCCTCCTCCCTCCTCCTCCTCCTCCTCCTCCTCCCTCCTCCTCCTCCTCCTCCTCCTCCTCCTCCTCCTCCTCCTCCTCCTCCTCCTCCTCCTCCTCCTCCTCCTCCTCCTCCTCCTCCTCCTCCTCCTCTTCCTCATCCGCGTATTCCTTCTTATTCCTCCTCCCTCCTCCCCCTCCCTCTCCCTACTCACCCTGCTCATGGTCCTTCCCCGATTCCTCCTCCACCCTTCCCCTCTTGGGGTATGGCGTCTTACCCAACACGCTATTCAATCGCATGCTCCTCCACAAGCCTGATCAAGGCAACTCGTCTGGGCATCGTTTCCGGAGGGGCTGGTGGGGTTATTTTTTTTGTCGCGGCCGCCTGCGAAAGCGCATGGGGCGTCGAAAGGTCGAGCGGGCTACGCGCGAGCCTAATTACACAGCGGCCGAGCGTGGGATCAGAACCAACCGCCGGGGGGGCAGCCGGCTGAAGCTGAGCTGGCTGAGCTGGCTGCAAACACTGGCGGGGTTACTTTTTTTGATTGGCGGCTCCAAGGAAAAATCCAAGAAGCGGGGCGGGCTCGGCTGGGGCACAGGGCGAAATAATTGGTTACGACGGCGCGCACGCCGACGTAACAGGTGCACTTGCAAGAGGCAAGATGCCCCTCATTAAGATGAGTGCGACCCAGGAGCGGGGACGCAAGCACCAGAGGCGGGGGCGAGGAAAAGGGGAAGCGGCGGAGGCGAGAGCACGCGCGGGCAGAAGAGGGGGAGCCGAGGAACGCCTCACTCACATGGACTCCTGGGCGCGATCAGGCATGAGCAACCGACCAATGCACGGAGACGTCGACCCAATCGCGGAGTCCGAAACCTGTGACTGCCGGACCCAGTAGCGGGGGGACGCAACAGCAGGCATGGCCGAGCGCCATGGACCACCCTGTAGGAGGGCTGGAGCACTGCCAAAGGATGAACCACTTGTGCAGTACCAGGAGCACGAACGTGGCTCCCGCCGAGAGAGGTGGACCAAGTCATCGGCGAACAACGCAAGCAGCTTATCCATCGCGATGGACGGGGGAACCAAGCGACGAGCGTCGACCGGGGGCAGGAGCGGACCAGAAGGGGGAACGTCGGCAGTCGAGCCAAGGGTGAACCACTTGTCGGGTCCGCACACTCCCCAGGTCCGGCCCCCGGTGATGCCGGGGCTGGCAGCAGGCCCGAGTTGTCCGAAACAACACCTGGCAGCAGCGCGGCCCGACCGCACCTCGGAGCTCCGCCAGGGAGCCTCCAGGTGGCAAGTGAGCCCGAGTGCTCCAGAGGAGCCTCGGTAGGGGGGAAAACGTGTGTCGCCGAATCCACCGGAGGAGGAGGGGGAGAGGAGGAGACGCAGCCGATAGCCGCACAATCCAGTGAAGAAATGGAGGAGGAGGAGGAGGAGGGGCGACGCCAATGCTTATACTGCGAGACCTTGGCCACAGTGATCTCTCCACCACGCGATGTGGGACCTCGACCGTGGGGGGAACAGAGCGCACTGGTGGGGTTACGCGATGCGTCTAGGATCTATGTGGTGCAGTTAATTTCTGTTCGCAGTGAGTTGTCCACTCCACTGCTCGCGCAAACATCCCACCCACCCACCCGCAACTTGGTTTGCAAAATCTCTTAAGACCGTGACGGTGGGCACCACATGGCACTTGGCAACAACAGCGACGCCAACGACGACAGCGACAACGACGATGACGACGCCACCGACAACGACTACGACGACACCGACGACGTCTCCAACGACTTCGACGACGCCGACAACGACGACGACGATGACGACGACACCGACGACGACGACGACGACACCGACAACGACTACGACGGCGATGACGACGATGACGATGACAACGCCGACGACGACGATAACGACGACACCGACGACGACGACGGCAACGACGCCGCGACGACGACGACGACGACGACGGCGGCGACGACGACGACGCCGACGTCGACGACGACGAAGACGACAACGACGCCGACGCCGACGCCGACGACGAAGACGACGACGACGTCGCCAACGAAGACAACGAGGAAGGAGGGAGGACGACGACGGCGACAACGACGACAACGACGAGGGAGGAGGGAGGACGGCGACGACGCGAACGACGAAGAAGGAGGAAGGACGGCGACGCCGACGACGACAACGACGAGGGAGGAGGGAACGACGACGACGACAACGACGACGACGACGACGACGGCGACGAAATAGGAGGGACGACGACGAGACGCCGACGACGGACGACGACGACGACGACGAGGGAGGAGGAGGAAGGACGACCACGGCGACAACGACGACGGAAACGACCACGACGCCAAAGAGGACGACGACGACGAACACGAGGAAAGACAGAGGACGACGTAGGCGACGACGACGACGACGTCGACGACGACGAAGACGACAACGAAGCCGACGACGACGACGAAGACGACGACGACGTCGCCAACGAAGACAACGAGGAAGGAGGGAGGACGACGACGGCGACAACGACGACAATGACGAGGGAGGAGGGAGGACGGCGACGACGCGAACGACGAAGAAGGAGGAAGGACGGCGACGCCGACGACGACAACGACGAGGGAGGAGGGAAGACGACGACGACGACGACACGACGACGACGACGACGACGGCGACGAAATAGGAGGGACGACGACGAGACGCCGACGACGGACGACGACGACGACGACGAGGGAGGAGGAGGAAGGACGACCACGGCGACAACGACGACGGAATCGACCACGACGCCAAAGAGGACGACGACGACGAACACGAGGAAAGACAGGGGACGACGTAGGCGACGACGGCGACGACAACGACGCGGGAGGAGGGAGGACGGCGACGACGACGACGACGACGCAAGAGCGCGCGCGCACGCTTTTGTTGAAAATCCGTGTTGGACACACGATTTTGAAATCCTTCCGAAACCGATGGGTTTTGAAGGTTTTCGGCATACGCGCGCGACGACGCGCGCGTCTGCACTTCGTCCAATTTTTTGCAGGGGACTCTCGCGACGGCACACGCGCAAGGGCGTTCGACAGATTTCGACATGAGCGCGCGCGAAGCCCGTTTGGTTGCATTTTGTGAAAATCTTAAAAAAAAAACGATGTTTTTCTTAAGAGTTCGCAAGAGCTTTCGCGGAAGCTTTTTTAGCAACTCTGTGTTGCGAAACCCTGTGTTTTTTGTAAGTTGTTTGGAAGCTCGATTGCGAAATCCCTCCCGCACCGAGGGTTTTTGAAGGATTTCGGCATGCGCGCGCGACGACTCGCGCGTGTGCACTTCGTCTCTTTTTTTGCAAGGGATTCGTGAACAAGTGTTATGTTAGAACAACAAATGTAACCGCATAGTGTTTTTAGAAGGGACCCTCAGGGGGGGGGGGAACCGGCCTGGCTGGGATGATACGATTTCATATTTAGGATGGACGAGTGTGCAGAATACATATATATATATATATATATATATATATGAAATTATACTATCCCAGGGGGAGCCGAGAAGTCGGGGGGGTAGAGTCTATTCTCTTTTCAGAAAGGAGAATCAAAGTATGCGGTGCAATCTGCGTTGTGCCATGAATTTCAGACGACGGGCAGCGACGAAGCGGCGACGGGGCGGCGACGGCGGGCACGAACCCGCTAGACTGCCAGCCAGGCCCAGACGACGGGCGGCGACGAGGCGACGACGGGGGGGCGACGGCAAGCACGAAACCGCCAGACCGCCAGCAAGGCCCAGTTCCTTAGAAGAGAATAATCACGTACAACCACTGCATATATATATACATATATATATATATATATATATATATATATATATATCGCGTACAACCGCTGTCGGACACATGATGAGCCACACTGTCCGCATCCTTGCCGTAGGCATTGAGAGAAGTGTGCTTTTGAGTTTTCACCACAAAACGTGGCAAGTACTACTGAAGTGGCGCGCTCGTGAACGCTCCCTGGGCTCGTCGCAGGACTTTTCCCATTGAATCGGGAGCGCGGCTCAGCATCGATACTTCCCAACAAGCTCTGCATATAGCTCCAGGGCCTGGTCTTGGGCCTCACTTATGCGTCTCCTCATGATGCCTGCGAGGCTGGTCTATGAGGCCAGAACCGCGGAAACACCCAAATCACGCGCATGATGTTCTTCACAAAATTTGCCTTCCCGGCCTGCAGAGCGTCCAGAGCGACCGAAGAGCCCGCAAGACTGTACCAAGACGGCCCCGAGGCCCCGGGGCCTCTCAGAGAGACCCAGGACACCCCCGAGAGGCCCCAAGGAGAGGCCAAGAGTCCCCCAGAAGCCTCCGAGAGGCCCCCCAGGATCTCCACATAAGCCCCAAGAAGACACAAAGACAACTCCAAGAGGCCCAAATCCACCGACCCTGCCGACGTGAGCAAGGGGCTTCTCTGTTCAAGTCGTCGTCTCCGTCAGTCGTCGTCTCCGTCGTCCTCTTTCCCTGCGCCTTCCTCCTCAAGCCTGTCAGCGAGAGAAAAGTCTAGCAATGCCGTAATCGAGTCGATCCCGGGGGGGGTCAGGTAGGCATCCCCCTGGTGGTCCGGGTGCCTCCGAAAGTATACCAAGACAGATCAAGAGTGTTTTAAGCCCTCCAGACTACTCAGGAGACCACCAAGACGTCCCAAGAAGCCTCCAAGAGCACTTCCGAGAAGGGCCCTTCGATGCAAAATCCCACCAGCCCTTTGGGCGTGAGTGGTTTAGAGAGCCCGCTCTGTCCTCAACCCCCCTTCTTCCCCTTCGGGGAGGGGTTACCCCTCCCCCTACCCCCTCCCCCTGGGCCTGGAGAGGGACCCCGGGGCGTCGCCAGGGGGGTCTTTTTCGACTCCTGGGAGGGCCAAAAAACGACGACCCTCACGAGGATTCTGGCCCCGACGGGGGGAGGGAGTTTGGCCCCTCTGCTCGTCTTTGAAGCAGAAATCATTGATTTTACTACGGTTTTGGCCCCATTTGGGCGTCCTGAGGGAGCCGCGCTCATCTTCCTTCATAGCAAAATCATTCATTTTACGAAAGTTTTGGCCTCATTTTGTCCTTTTCAGGGGGCAGCTCTCATTTGCGCTTCTGAGGAAGTCGCACGAGGCCCCAAGATAGCCCCAAGAGGCCCCCAGGAGGCCCCCAAGAGGCCTCCAAGAGGGAGCCTCCGAGCGGCCCCAAGAGGCCCCCAAGAGGCCCCCAAGAGGCCCCCAAGAGGCCTCAAGAGGCCCCAAGAGGCCCCCAAGAGGCTCCCCAGAGGCCCCCAAGAGGCCCCCAAGAGGCCCCAAGAGGCTCCAAGAGGCCCCCAAGAGGCCCCACGAGGAGCCCGAACGACTCACACCAGGACGAGGGGCCCGAACGACTCACACCACGAGAGCCCGAACGACTCACACCACGCCCGAACGACTCACACCAGGACGAGGCGCCCAACGACTCACACCACGAGGAGCCCGAACGACTCACACCACGACGAGGGCCCCGAACGACTCACACCACGAGGAGCCCGAACGAGTCACACCAGGAGGAGGGGCCCGAACGACTCACACCAGGACGAGGGGCCCGAACAACTCACACCACGAGAAGCCCGAACGACTCACACCAGGACGAAGAGCCCGAACGACTCGCACCACGAAGAGCCCGAACGACTCACACCAGGAAGAAGGGCCCGAACGACTCACACCAGGACGAGAAACCCCAAACGACTCAAACCATGAGGAGCGCTTTCTCTCCCTCTTCCTCCGCCTCGTCCTTCTCCCGCTCCCCCCACAAGGAGGATGTACAAGGAGGCGGGAGGAAGGAGGAACAGGGGAGATATGCGGGGGCAAGCGGACACACGCCTGCAAAATACAACTGTCGGCATGCTTCGCAAGAGTTGCTGTTGTGAGATGGGCTGGTGGGGATACGCGAAGCGTAAAGAATTCATTGATTTCCCTTTGGTGTTTTTGAAGATTTGGGTGTTCTCGCCTTTTCCGCTTCCCGCCGCTCCAAGACGGCCCAAAAGGACCCCCAGATTGCCCCAAGACGGTCCAAGAGGCCTGCAAGAGGGCTCCCAAGACAGCCCAATAGGACGCCAAGACACTCCACAACGCCTCCAAGAGACCTCCAAGACGGCTCGAAGAGCACGCCCAGACGAGAGACCCGAACGGACACTTCGAGCACTCGGCCCAGAGAGGCTCCCAGGAGGCTCCAAGAGATTCCCAAGAGGCTCCAAGAGGCCCACAAGAGGCCAGGAAGCCCGAGCAGGCCCCAAAAGGCCCCAAGAGGCCCCCACGAGGCTTTCAAGAGGCCCCAGAATTCCTCCCCAGCGGCCCCCGAGAGCCTTCCGAAGAGACCACAAGAAGCACGTCAGCGTCGTCGTCGCCGCCGCCGCCGTTCTCTTCGTCGTCCCCCTTCAGGGTCGGCGGCGCTGGCCGTAAGGAATTCACTGTATATGTGTGTATATATATACACATTTATCTCCAAGAGACTACAGACCCAAGCACGGGGGCGGGATGGGCCGCCCACGTAAACACTGGCAACATACATTCGACAGACAGTATGCATGATGCAACCATGCAAACAAATAAGCACAGGACGCGCACGTCAAGCCGAGCAGGGTCGGGATTGACAACATTGAGCAAATCGACTCGGGCCAAATCAAGGAATCAAGTCGAACCGGGCTGAACCACTGTCAGCTTGAACGGGCCATGGTGCGCAGGGTAAAGCGAAGGCAAGCGGGGAAAGGGCCTACGAGAGCTGCCGCGGCAACGATTGAAGATGAGGCGAGATGACCGAGATGCGGGGCGGGCCTCCTGCCTCTGCTACAGCTCCCCCTGCAGATACTGCTGCTGGCCCTCCTCTTGCGCCCCCCTCCCTCTTGATGCTGCTCCTGCTCCCGATCATGCTCCTGCTCCTGCTGCTTCTGCTCCAATTCGTCCTCCCCCTCCTCACACATCCAGCTCTTCCTCCTTCTCCACCGTATCCGCGCTCCTGCAGTTGCGCCTCCTGCTGCTGCTGCTGCTCCTCCTCCTCCTCCTCGTCCTCCTCTTCTTTGTGATCCAATGTAAGTATCTTCCCCCGAATCCCCTGCCTCCTCCTCCTCCTCCTCCTCCTCCTTCTCTTCCTCACCATGTGGGCATCATGCTCCGCCGCCTCATCCTGGTCCTCATCCTTCTCACAATCACCCTCTCTCTTCTTTTCCTTCTCCCCGTGATCGTCCTCCTCCTTCTCCCCCCTCCCCTCCTTCCTTCCCAAAATTATCCGCCTCCTCATTCTCCCCGGTCTCCGCATCCTTCCGTTTCTGCTCATCCAGAACCACAGCGTCGTCTCTCTGCTGCCCCACCCTGGTCGAGGGCGGCGCGCCTTTGCCATCAGCTCCTGGAGACCAGAAGCCAGCTGGCTAGCCTTCCCTGGCCACCCCTCCGCGGGAAGGGTAGGGGATGGGCAGGCAGAAGGAAAGGGGACTGGAGAGAGAGCGAGGTGGAGGGAGAGAGCAGGGCAAGACGAAAAGGGAGAGGGACTCGTCTTCTTGTGGTGCTGGAGCCCGCGCGACGGCGCGGGCACATTCGGGCGCTGTGCCACAACGTCCTCGCGCCCCTGGAGAGGGTGGAGAGTGCGACCTGCCCATCAAATGCAGAAGGAATCGTGCACGACAAATGCAGTAGCACTGCCCGCAGCAATCCAATCTCACCAAGCCCTCAGGCAGCGGCGTGGGAGCCGCCTGCCACTATCCCTGACCGGGGGGAGCACAGTTGCATGTGCGCGCGGCCATGCATTCACAACGTCGGCGCTGCTCGCAGGGGAAAGGAGGGGAGCACGAGGCTATGGGGCCCCTATATGGGGCCGCAGGTCTTGCCAACATCGGTCGATCGAAATCCCGGCCAGCACCCACATGCATTGCGTGTGCGAGCGCGTGTGCGTGAGGATGGCTGGGGCAAAGTGGCTCTGGGCGTCCAAGGCGCCCCAGTAGGGATCCAGGACGTCGCAAAGACAGCCCGAGAAGCTTCAAGACAAAGGATAAAAGTCCCAGCGAGCACAAGTCCCCCCAGTACAGCAGCCAAGACATCCCTAGACGCTCGAGTGGACTCAAACGAGACCTCGTAAGGCCGAAATAACGAAATCACGATCTGAAACATTGCGGTTGCCCTCAGGGTTCCCGTGTGGGGACCTCATTTTGAATGAGACGGCAGCAAACGTTGCTGCGCACCTGGGGTCCAGCGGAGTCACGTCTTGCGCATACCGTGGGATCTCAACATCCCTGCGTGCTCCCAAGCGTGCAGCGGAGAGACGCGGTCCCAGACGGGACCTCGCCCTGCCTGGGTTGGTCTTGCTGGTCTGGCTCGTGTTCCCGCTCTCGCTACTTTTGACGTTCTGCTTCACATGCACGGCTGGCTTTGCGCTCCCTCAGTCTGCGCACAACGCCGCTTCGGGCTGACTCAACCTGGTCTGGCTGGCTTGGCTGCTTCGGATGATGGAGCTGGTCGTACTGGTCTGGCTGCCGATGCTGGTCTACCTGGTCTGGCGGTCTGGCTGGTCTGGCTACTCTAGCCGGCTCAACAGTTCTGTTTGGGCGGCGAGCTTGATTGGCGAGGAAAGGCAAGATGTTTGGGGCGAGGAGGAGGAGGATAAGGAGGAGGAGGAGGAGGAGGAGGAGGAGGAGGAGGAGGAGCAGCAAGAGTGGCTCGCAGAGAGGTGCGGCAGAAACTACGAATCCTCGTCATCCCCTTCCTTCTCCATGGCGTCTACGGATGCTCCTTGAAGAAACTTTCGGCGTCGTGCTGCGCCGTTTGGGGCGCCCTTGGAGCCATCTTGGAGCAACCTCGAGGGGTGTGGCACGTGCCTGGCTGCGTACTATTATTCGTTCGCTTGGCTGGTACCCTTAGGAGACATAATGTACACTTGGTCTGGTTCATCCAGGCTGGCTTTTCTGCTAATATGGTGTGGCTAATCTGGGTGGTCTGGTTGGTTTGGCTGCCCTGACCAATCTGATTGGTCTGGCTGGCATGGAGAATGACCAGGATCAGTCAGCACAGGACGAGAAGGACAAGGGAGACAGAGAGAGAGAGAGACACAGAAACACAGAGAGAGAGAGAGAGAGCAGAAACTACCATACATACATAAGTCGACAGGTATACACATAAATTGGCAGGAGTATAGAGAGAGAGGGGGGGCAAGCGAATAATCACGACGAGGAGGAGGAACACCAACGGAAAGAGTAGTTCGCAGGCCTGACGGGCCAAATGTATGGTATGGTTCAGAATATCTGCACTTACCCATTTCACGCGCGCGTGGCGGCCCCTTTGGGGCCCCAGAGGAAAACTACCCAAGCAAGATCCCGAGAACCCCCATGGCGAGGTCCGCAGGAGCCCTTAGGCCGGACCAGAGACGGCTTCGAGTGGGCTCTATATGGCAGGGAGCCCAGGAGCGGCTCAGGAGTGTGGACGAAGTTGTGGCATGCTCCAGCATGTCCCAAAGACAGCCCCGAGATTCCCAAGATGGTGAAACATAGACGCCAAGAGCACCCCAATACAATCGAACAAGGCCCCAACGAGAATGCCCCAAGATGCCAAAACCTAGAGATAGAAGACATACGGGTTTACCGTGATTTTGGCGTTTTCTCTTTTTTGATTTTGATTGGTCTCTGAAGCGTCAAGATTGCTACAAGGTGGTCCAAGATGGCTCCAAGAACCAACGACCCCTTGATGGACAGAAGGCGTCCCGACAGGGCCTCAGAAGGCCACACGAAAGCAAGAACCTGCATTTCCTTGCGGATGTCTTGCGAATTTAGCAAGCTCGCACTCTCCATCATCAGCGCGCCCAAGACGGCCCAAGAGGCCCGCACGATCGCCCCAAGAAGGCCCCGAATGCGTCCAAGCAAGGAGGCTCCAGTCACTGCCCAGAGCGGCCCAAGAGGGCTCCGAGAGGGCCCCCAGGTTGGCTCCAGAAAGCCCAAGAGAGCCTCAAGTCAGCCCTAAGACCCCCCAAAACGGCGGGCGGAGGGGGAGGGGGGGAGACGGGAAGAGGGGTAATTACAGGGGGCGCAGAATGGGGCAAGGTGGCGGGAAGGAAGGAGGTAAGATGGAGATGGAGAGAGAAGGGGCAAAAGGGAGCGAGGGGAGAGAAGGGAGAGCGGGGAACACGGCGCGCCCGCGACGGCAGCGGCATGCTCCCAGTTGACTCTCAGCAGCTAGCTACGGCCCCGACCTGATTGGTAAAAGTGCGGAATTTGAGGCACACAAACAATACCCAGAGGTCCGATGTATTGATTTCTCAACACTGGATCCGCAGAAGTCCCGGTGCTTTCCCCGGGACCAGGGCTTCACCCTGAGTCGTTTTTGACGTTCCTGGAGCCTGGCGAAGGCCCCCAAAGGCCGAAAACAACCAACGAGACAACTCCGCACCGAATGTTCCAATACTCTGGACGTCTGGGCGCCCATGCCACCGGCACAGGTGCTACATGACCCTGGGATTGAAAAAAGAGGCACCGACACCTGCGCCCGACGGCGCGCCAGCGACCTCCCAGGGACAGACAGTTCCCCACCTGCCAGGGCGGACGCCTGCCCACCGCACCTGTCCCAAGGGTGTCGCTGGCGCCCGATGGGGGGGGGGGGGGCTGGGGCGGGTCGGCGCGCCCTGCCCTGAGGGGTGGCACGCGAGACGCCAAGCTCGGGAAGCAAGGCATGGCATAAACATCAACTTTCGGAGGTCCGCGCGGATTTCTCGGAGCGGCACTGGAGCCGCCTGCCGGCGCCTCCGGCGCCGCCCCTTGCGCGCTCCGGGGAGGAGGGTCCAGCGTCCAGCGCCGATCCGAGAAATCCGCGCGGACTTTTGACAAATGGTGTTCAATGCGATTCTTTGCTCCCCGGATAACAGCTGCGCCAGGTACGGAACTTGCTGCACAAAGGCCTAAGGCCAATGATCGGCTGGCGTACAGAAAAAAACAACTGCGGGTCGGAGCCCCGCTGGTCTGGCAGGCACCTTCAGGAGCTGACTCTTGAGCAGGGACCGATCGTCCCGGCATTCCTATAGGCCTACCACGACATGTTCTTAGAACCCCTAAGAATTCTTATAACAATACAATGTTCTTAGAACATAATGCCGATGTGTTAAAGCACGACGCTCCCAGCCAGAAATGTTCTGAGAACAATTCGCGCAAACCACAAAAAAAGGTTCTTAGAACATTCCGTGGTGGGCCTATATGCGAGCCAGGACGCCTCGCCACTGCTTGAATCCTGAGGGAGCTCGAATCGCGCCGGCGCCGACAGTTCCCCGCAGCCCGGGCTGCGCGGCGACGGAGGGGGGAGAGAGAGAACGAGAAGCAAGCTGTGAGGGGCAACGTTAGGGTTGGGTCGGGCATGTCCTCCTGCAGGCGGGTGATGGAGGAACCCCAAAAACGTCCCCGGACTATTTTTGACTATTTTTGAAGATTCCCCCCTCTTAAAGGGACACGCCCGACTTAACCTGGGGGGGGACCAACTGGGAGGGGGACACGTCGACCTGGAATCGGCGAAACAGTCGGGGCGTTGACCTAAGGAACCCTAAATAAGGAACGAGGCCCCTTTTTTCCATAAATCAAACTTCGATTCCCCATCGAAAACATAAGGAAAACCTGAGGCAAGCTGTGCAACACGTAAGGAACACGGAGCCCCTCCCCAACGAAAAGGGTTCCTTCTTCAGCGCCCCGACTGTACCTCGGGTCGCTGGCGGCCGCTCGGGACGGCCTGGGCGCCCCCGGAACGCCCTCCGCGAGGCGCAGCCGCTGGAGAGCACCCCGAGGTTGGAAAGCCGCCGAAGGCCGACGACGGCGTGCTCCGGAAGCAGACGACGAGTCGGAGTGCGCCCGGCGGAGAGCTGACAGAGGCGTGCCGCCACTGCCGCGGGCGGTGGGCCGCGGGTCGCCGGCGGCCAGCCGCGCGCCCTGTGCAGGCCAGGAGCGCAGCGTGGCCGGCGCGGCGTCAGCTCGCGGGGCGCGAGGGCCGGGAGCGGCAGGCAGGGCAGGCAGGCGGCCAGTCAGGCAGAGGGCGGCGCGAGGATGGGCGGCAGGCGCGAGCAAGCGTGCCGGGCCTGGGGAGAGGACCTGGGGAGAGTCAGCACAGGCGCAGCATCACCTCCACGCGATGTCCACAAAGTCGGCCTCGTGCTGGTGCTGCTCTGCGCTGGCAGCTGGCAGCTGCACAGGTCCGCTGGTCCCAGGGATACAATAACTGAGACAGATGGCCAGACCGTCTTCCCATCTGCGAAACCTTCCCGTCTGCGAAGCCTCACAGCAGCAACCGCGAACACCCTCCTGCGGTGATCGATGGTCCCCAGGGCCTCCAAAAGAGTCCCAACTGAGCCCCTGGAGGGCCCCGCGTGATCCGTGGCGCACAGGGTCGGCGGCACCAGCCGCAAGGCCTTCGCAGTTGTCTCCCCATCCAGGACACGTTCCCGTCTGCGGAACCCAACAGCGGTAGGTGCGAGAAGGTCATACAATCAGAGAGAGAGAGAGAGTTGCTTATTCTTCGCGATGGCGGCCGTTACCAACCCCAGCCGCCCGCCCCGTCTCCCCCGGGGGGAACGTCACAAGGCGTGCTGACCTCCGAGCTGCCTGTGGCTCTCTGCAGACACTCCCAGACAGCCCTGGCGCGAAGCGTGGCGTTACTGCCCCCCCTCCCCCCCTGGCCATCGCTCGGACGTCCATTCCCTGTGTTTTTTTTCGGTTTCGTGCGTGTTTTTTTTTTCGCCAGATGGTCGAGGATGTTCCTCGAAGGTCCTCGCCGAGAAAAAAAAGGCACACGTCCGAGCGATGCCCAGCCCCCGGTAACGCCCGTCATCGCCCAGGAATAGAGAACGCTCTCTGAACTGGGGTGCCCAGTCAGCATGTTGCCGATCGCCCCATCACCGACCCGCCCTCGTCGATCTGGGAGGCATCGGCGGGGGAGAGCTGGGCCTTGCGGATGTAGGCCTGCACTGCGTCTGTCAGCCGGCCGAGCATTTTCCTGGAGTACGTCTTCTTGCTCGAATCGTCGGGGCCGAGATCCAGGCCGTCCAACCGCGCCCAAAGCGGCTCAAAGTGCGGGAACACCTCGCGCTCCAAAAACTGCTTAATCCGCTCTGGGCTCAGGCCGTCCGCCACGTTCGCGACGAAGGGCGGGGCGTTGTTGTATGTCACGGAGGTCTTCGGCACACAGATGTGCAGCTGCACCCTCTGATTGATGGCATCTACCAGCTTCGCGCCAATCAGCCGCTGCTTGTCCTCCTCCGCCTCAACAAGGGCCCCCCGAGACCGGACGAGCAACAACCAACCCTTGCGCATGGCGTGGGCGGGCATGCGGACGCGCTCGCCGGAATGTTTTTCCCAACCATCCCGTGGTGTTGGGACCCCGCTCTGGAGAGACATCGCCCCACGTCCTCTCATCTCTCCTCTCCTCCTCCTCCCTCCCGGCTCCCATCTGTGCCTCTGCCCTCCGCACGCCCATTCCGACACACCCCGCCCTCCCAACGCATGAGTGACGCCCGAGTCTGAGTACAGTCGGGGCGTTGACCTAAGGAACCCTAAATAAGGAACGAGGCCCCTGTTTCCCTTAACTTAAAATTCGATTCCCTATGGAAAACCCAAGGAAAACCCAAGGCAAACTGTAAAACAATCAAGGAACACCGAGCTCCTCCCCAACGAAACAGGTTCCTTAGTCAGCGCCCCGACTGTATGTTCAGCGGTCGTCTGTGCATGGACAGCCACTGGGAACCAAAGCCGGCCGCGGGCGCGCGACGCTCGGGCGAGGTGCGCCAAACGTGCCAGGGGCGCCGCGCGCGCCAGGCACCCCTGGGGCCCGAGCGTGCCTTTACGTGTTCCGTGGCCCCACACATAAGGAGCTCCACCGAAGGCCTCAGGGGCAAAGTTCACATGCGGGTCCCCGCCCATTTCGGCACACCCCTCGCACGCTTCGTGGCCCCAGAGTGAGCTCCACCGAAGGCACCAATGGCAATGTTCGTATGCGGTTCCCCGCCTGCTTCGGCACACCCCTCGCACGCTTCGTGGCCGCATAGGGAGCTCCCCCAAAGGCACAAGGGGCAAAGTTCGCATGCGGTTCCCCTCCCATTTCGGCACACTCACCGAAGGCACCAGTGGCAAGGTTCGCATGCGGTTCATACAAAACTCCTCTCCCTCCTTCACCTGCCTCTGGGCCGTTTCCTCTCCTTCTTCATGCGATGGGGAGACACGGCGACCGCGGTGCATATTGTCGTTCGGCCCCAGAGCCTTACGCCGCGACTGGAAGGCCTCGTACGACTGCGAGAGCAGCTGGCCCCTCAGCAGCTCGACCTCTCGCTGAAGCGTCTTGTGGGCGCCCGCGGCATGCTCCTGGCCCACGGGGCGCCCCAGAAGAGCACACCACCACTGGAGGAGGAGGAAGAGGAGGAGGAGGAGGAGGAGGACGAGGAGGAGGAGGAGGAATGGAGGAGGACGAGGACGAGGACGAGGAGGAGGACGAGGAGGAGGAGGACCTTCATCCGGGGCAGCCCCCCTCCCCCCCTCGCTGGCCCTCACGGGCCCCCAGGAGCTGTCGGGAGCGGCCTCGCTGCCTCCGCGCCGCCCGCCCTCTGGAGGACCCTGGCGGCGCGGTCGAGCTGGCGGGAGCCGCCTCTGCGGGGCTGCGCCACGCTCCGCCCCCGCTCCGCGCCCGCGGAGGAGGAGGAGGAGGAGGAGGAGGAGGAGGAGGAGGAGGAGGAGGAGGAGAAGAGACGAGGGAGGAGGGCTCTCCCCCGCTTCACCCTGGTGGGCGGGCATCTCTTTGGTCTGCGGCGAGTGGGGCCCAGCAGGCGGTCGGGCCAACGGCGGGACGCATCGGTAGCCAACCTCGGCGAAGACCGAGGAGGGCCTGTGGACGGACACGTGGGAAGCACAGCGTCAGTGGCATCAGTCAGGCGGCGCTTGGGCGCCCTCCGCAGTCCAAGCTGCTCTCCGACTCGCGGCGCTGCATGACATAGTCTGGCTCCTCCTCGATATGGTCCTTCCGCTCACGCAAGGCTGCCGCGTCGCCCTTCAGCGCCGCCTCCAGCCTCGGTGGCGACAAGAGAGGGGGCAGGGCGACGGGGGGCAGGGGTGGCCCTCTACGAAAGCAGCTCATTGGGAGAGACTGGAACCTCCCAAGAGGCCCCAGAGAGGGCCTGTCGAAAAGGAGGGCCTGAGGGAAGGCGGGCCGCCTATTTGGACATCCGACGTCGTGATTTTCTCACGGACGTAGGTGCCCAGAGGTCTGGACCTTCCAAGGCACCAGCTTCTTCCTCCTGAACAGTTTCTCACGCTCCCGGAACCAGTAATCTGTGAAACACGTCAGCTAGTTGTTATGGCCTCATGGCGCTTGTGAACATCCATCTCCCTTACATGACGCTATAGGGAACTACGTATTGGGAGCTATTGGTCGCTACTGGGCGCGATGGGGCGCTTCGTGAGCGCTGTTCGGCATTACTGGGCGCTACGGCGCTATTTGGCGCTAGTCGCTGACCTACAGCCACAAGACGAGCGGAAACTGACGTGAAGCGAACTGCTATCTCATGTCCGTGGTGATCTTCTACGGTGAGAAGATCCAAGGACGCACAGAACTGGGTCCGCACATAGCCGGGTCGGCCACGGCCTCGTCCCGAAGCCCGTCCAGCCGCTCGCGCATGGCTCCCATGCCTGGGCCAGCGGAGGACGGAAGCGAGGAGTCGGCCACGGCTCCCAAATCGGGGATGGACAGAACCCCCCTGCGGCACAACGTGGCCCAGTGGAAACACGACCTCGGGCCCACACCTGGCGGGCGCAAGCCCCGAAGAGGACGGCCGCGGCGCCCTCTCGAGAACCGAAGGCGGACAGTGCACCAATCTAACCAGCCTCGAACTTATCCCTATCCCTGAGATGGGCGAGCAAAAGGCGAGGACAATCTTAGGGATAGTCCCCCAGAAACTGAGGGAATCCTTAAGATCGGCATCGAGGTGAGGTGATGTCAAACATACGGATAGGGATATGTTTCCAACTGTTAACAATCGACGTGTCGGGGTGGGGGTCTTGTCCACCCCCGACCAAGCTCGGGTCGGCGAGAGGGGAGCCGGCCGGACCCCGTGGGCGCCCACCCCCTTGGCGTGAGCCCCGGAGGGTGTCGAGGGCTTGCGAGCCGCCCGCAGCCGCTCGACTTTCAGGCCGAGCTCCCTCGCGAGGCCCCTCGCGGCGTCCAGCTCGGCGGCCTGCCTCGGGAGGCAGACGGACCACCAGCACGCCGTGCCCTCCTTTGGGAGGGCGCGCGCCCGCCGAGACCACACAGACGCGAAGCACTGCAGTGCGTCAGTTCCCGAGAGCGGCACGGCCGGAGAGCGCCCGCCACCGGGCACATGCCGTGCGCTGTGTCGGATTCCTGAGCGCGCGCTCGCCGCCCACGCAGGGCCGACGCACGCCTGGTCTATATAGCAGCTGTTGGGGCGACGCCGCTGCCTGTCCAGCTCCGCGCGGTGGGCCTCCGCGGCCACACGGCGGGCCTCCTCCACGGACGCGTCCAGGCGCGCCGCGTCGGCGACCCTGAGCCTCAGCGCCTCCTCCAGCATGTCACCGAGAGCCCTGCGCTCGGCCACCACGGCGGCGTGCTCGCGCTTCAGCACGTCGTTCTCGTCCTGCAGCACCGCACCCTCGCAGCGCAACCTCTCCACCTCGGCGAGGAGGAGGAGGAAAAGGAGGAGGAGGAGGGGAAATCGAATCGAATCGGAATGTAAGTCGGATCGGACTGGATTGGCACGGAATCGAACTCGAGTCGGATCGGCTGCGTCAGGATGCGCAGCAGCGCCATCGGGCCAGTCGGATCGCTGGGAATTTCGAAATCGGATCGGTTCGAATTGGCCAGAGTTTGTATCGAATCGGACCGATCGGATCGAAATGGTCACTCGAGGAGGGGGAGGAGGAGGAGGAGGAGGAGGAGGAGGAGGAGGAGGAGGAGGAGGACGACGACGACAACGACGGCGAGGACGCGGTGGGCAGTGGCGTTGCCTGTCTCGCAGAGAAGGGCAGGGCCACGAGGGCCACAACACTGACCACCTCGCGCCGACCCACATGGCACACGAGGGCAGGGCCTGCTACATGTGCCTCCTCCTCCTCCTCCTCTTCCTCGTCCTCCTCCTCTTCCTCCCTCTCTTCCTCCTCCTCCTCCTCCTCCTCCTCCTCCTCCTCCTCCTCCTCCTCGTCCTCCTCCTCCTCCTCCTCCTCCTCCTCCTCCTCCTCCTCCTCCTCCTCATCCTCCTCCTCGCTCCGGAACGAGCACGAGAGGCGGCGGCGAGCAGGAGTGGGGGCTGTGCCCTCCCTGGGCAAGAACCCTCGAGATCAGGACTTGGCCTGCTTCCCGCACTGCCCTCAGGGGCACCGTTAGGGGAGCAGGGGGCTCAAAGGGAGATGCATCGACCCGCACCCGCCCTCTGATCCCCGATGAGGACCCGATAGCCCACCCCGCCCAGGACCGCGCGATTCTGCCAATACTCGCGGGCACATCGACGATCTACCGGCGATGTATCGCCGCCTTCGGGTCTGTGTGTCTCCCCCTGAGCTGGTCCACTCCCCGTTGTTTCCCCTCACCGCCCTCGGGGGCCGG